CCCCCCCACCCACCCTCTTCTGAAATCGGTTGTGTTGACAGAAAAGTGCAGATGTCAAAGTCATGCTGTAAACTACACCACAACGTGCCATTTAAATGCAAATGCAACAAAAGATTTCTTATTTTCAGCATCAATGATGTGATAAAAAGTCTGGTATGTTTTAATATTTAATCAAATGATAATAATAACACTAATAATTATAATCACACGAATAAAAAAAATTATATTAATAATAATAAACATACCCGAACATAATTAACAACAATGCATTCCAGTGGCGTCGACAATCAAGACAACATTAGGGAACCCACATGCCAGTCGTAATAATTATTTAGGCGGGAACACTGCGGGCTTAATCTTAGTTTAAACATAGTCATGCTGTAATAATAATATTAATAAAAAAAAAATAATAAAATAATAATACAAGTAATGAATACCAAATGTATTTTCTTTTCTTAAAATAAACTGCTTTTCAATAAATGAAAAAATGAGGTTCAACTCCACCAGGATATCCACCAAGCCAAAAAATACCTGGTGACACAACGTGCCACCATGCGGATGAGAATCACCAGGGAAGAGGTCCCAGAAACCCGTTCAACCGTTAGGTTATATTAGGGCTCCCGACTACAGCTGGGAGTGGAGCTTCAAAATAAAGAAAGATTGCGTCCCGTATCTAGTTTCAGAATAGAGGTGGAGGCAGTCACTGCTGCCTTTCGCTGGCTTGAGAATCAGCTGTACACACATGCTGTGATTGTAACTGACTCGCAGAGAATGTTGAGAAAGGTGGAGACATGCATGTTTGGTGGTGAACTGATAAATTACAGGCTGGATGTTGTGAGGGCTCTTTTGGGAGCGATGGAACATGCGGAGGCACAGATAGATCATAACGGTCTGGGCAGAATGGCGTGGCGAGGAGTTACAAGGGTATTTGGCCGGAGCTGAACACTCAGGAGAAGAATGAGACGGATATACAATCAGACAGTTAATAGTGCCATCGGAACTGGAACTATCATCTTGCAGCTGAAGATGGGGACGGAGCGCTTATGGGAGAGTCCCGAGTGCTGTAATGTTGATTCTCAATTCAACATCTAACATTCGGGACGACGGATAGTAACTGCTTATAAAAAGAATTTCTAAATATGAATGAACTGGGCCGCTTAAACCCTTAACATACATTTCAAGGGAGCTCCCCCCCCCCCCCCCACTTAAACCCTTAACATACATTTCAAGGGAGCTCCCCCCCCCCCCCCTACTTAAACCCTTAACATACATTTCAAGGAGCTCCCCCCCCCCCCCCACTTAAACCCTTAACATACATTTCAAGGGAGCTCCCCCCCCCCCCCCCCCCTTAAACCCTTAAGATAATTTTTAGGGAGTTCACCCCTCCCCCCACCAACTTGAACCCTTAACATATATTTTGAGGAGCTCACCCCCCCCCCCCCCCACTTAAACTCTAAACATACATTTCAAGGGAGCTCACACACCCCCCCCCCCCCACTTAAACCCTTAAGATAATTTTTAGGGAGTTCCTTAACATACATTTCAAGGGAGCTCAACCCCCCCCCCCCCTCACTTAAACCCTTAACATACATTTCAAGGGAGCTCACCCCCCCCCCCCCCACTTAAACCCTTAACATACATTTCAAGGGAGCTCACCTCCCCCCCCCCCCCACTTAAACCCTTAACATACATTTCAAGGGAGCTCACCCCCCCCCCCCCCCACTTAAACCCTTAACATACATTTCAAGGGAGCTCACCCCCCCCCCCCCCCCACTTAAACCCCCTTAACATACATTTCAAGGGAGCTCACCCCCCCCCCCCCCCCCCCCCCCACTTAAACCCTTAAGATAATTTTGAGGGAGCTCACCCCTCCCCCACCCCACTTAAACCTTTAACATACATTTTGAGGGAGCTCACCCCCCCCCCCCCCCCCCCCCCCCCCACCCCCAACCAAAACCCCCCAAAACCAAACCAAAACCCCACCCCCCCCCCCCCCCCCCCCACCCCCCCCCCCCCCACTTAAACCCTTAAGATACATTTTGAGGGAGCGCATTGTCTCCCCCCCCCCCCCCCCACCCCCCCCCCCCCCCCCCTTCCTCCGTTCTTAAACTCTTAACAAACATTTAGAAGGAGCTCATTCCCTCCCCGTCCCTTACTTAACCCTTTAACAAACATTTTGAGGGAGGTCATACCCCCTCCTCCTACCGACGTTTGTAACTAACTCACAGTGCATGCTTTAGAGAACCGAAACTGACGTCCTATGCTGTCGTCACTTGATAAGATTGAGATCAGGCGCTTGTAAGAGATTTGCTGTCCAAGATACTTGGATGTGCGGGGTAATGTGCAGGCTGATATATTGGCTGCCCCCGCTCCTCTGGAGGATGAGCTACTTTATGATAAAGCAGCTGTGGTGAAGGCTTTCTGTGATCAAATGGACAGTGCAATAGCACATACAGAAAATCTCTACAAACGCAAACAGACAGACAGACAGACAGACAGGCAGACAGACAGACAGACAGACAGACAGACAGACAGACAGACAGACAGACAGGACAGACAGGACAGACAGACAGACAAACAGGACAGACAGACAGACAAACAGGACAGACAGACAGACAAACAGGACAGACAAACAGGACAGACAGACAGACATGACAGACAGGACAGGACAGGCAGAACAGACAGGACAGACAGAACAGACAGACAGACAGACAGACAGACAGACAGACAGACAGACAGACAGACAGACAGACAGACAGACAGACAGACAGACAGGACAGGACAGGACAGGACAGGACAGGCAGAACAGACAGGACAGACAGACATGACAGACAGGACAGGACAGGCAGACAGGACAGGCAGACAGGACAGGCAGACAGGACAGACAGACAGACAGGACAGGCAGACAGGACAGACAGACAGGACAGACAGACAAGACAGACAGATAGAACAGACAGATAGATAGAACAGATAGGACAGACAGACAGACAGACAGACAGGACAGACAAACAGGACAGACAGACAGATCGAAAGATACATTCGAGGGAAGCAACGACGAAGTAAGAGGGGTCCGGGTTTGATTGTTTATTTGTTTTAGTATCCAGAAGCCATGAGTTGTTAACCCTAAGGCTCGGTATTATGGATATCACAACCTTTTCGGCCTTGATTCCATTGTAAATACCGTAAATCTGGGAGAAATGTGGCTTTTCTGCCTACCCCTGGGTTTGAATCTGGACCACAAGGAGTTCATCACCAGGTCTCCGCGCAATCCGGTTTAGCCAACTACGCTAGAGAGCCGGGCAGGGTCAGGGCAAGTTTACCTCACTTTATATAATTATGTCGTTTATTATTATTATTTATTTTTATTTATTTACACAACATTTAAAAATCGTAGCCATTTCAGAGTCATTTTAGTTCTGTGTGTTGTGTTCCCCCCCCCCCCCCCCCCCCCCCCGCCGTTTCTTTCTTTCTTTTTTTTTTGTTGTTGTTGCTGTGCTGATGAAGTTAATCACCGGTACATCCTTTGTTTTACTTTTGTAATTAAACAAGTGAGCTGACAAACACATTTATGTTGTTTCATTCGTTTCTATACCTTTCTGAAAAACACGGAAATATCTGGGATGATTTCCTAACTAAACACTAAAAATAGATACACAGTACGACGGTAAGTTTAGCAACCAATGAAATCTTGCGATACGATAGCTATTTTTAGATTTAATTTATTGTGTATAAAACAAACATACATTTACAGGTCTGTAGCTTTCCCTATTGCCACAAAATAGCACTTCAAGACAAACTAAGAAACATGTAAGTGATACATTCAGGACGGTATGCAGCTGCGACTTTAATAAATCATTAAAGACAAATAGTTATAAAAAACACAGTTGCGTAATCTCAGAACGAGCCCGAACGATGTTTTTTTTTTTTTGCTGCTTAGTTTTTACTAGGTAGTTTTAGGTTCAGTAGTTTGCCATCGCTTTCTATTCGGTCATCGGCTCTCGATGCCATTGTCGAAATTAACACAAAGCGGTCTGCTGCAAATCGCCTGCAACTGGAATCAAGTAGAATACCTTTGAATTACACAGCGCGTACACACCCTCTGAGCTACCGACAGAGACAAATAGTTGTAAGCTGACTCTGAAAACTATTGACCAGCAGCCAGAATTATAAAAATCTAGACGAACATGTACGTGGGCAGGTATGTATCAAAAGTGCCAGAACCTGGAAGCAGATACCCCTTGAGCCACTCAGCCAACGTTGTTGGCCGCGGGACGCTGGCGGGCTGATTTCCTCCGACACCAAACGCTTGTTTGTTTTTGTTTAGTTACAGCGTTAAGCCTCGTTGTCGTAAGTTCAGCTTCTAGTATCATTGCGGACGCGTGACCCATAACTGCTCCCTTCCCGTGCCAGAGGAAATCACACAGCATGTCTTTCACTGTCCCACTTGAAAAACTAGTGAAACACTTGTCAGTCCTAGCAAAACTTGGAAGCTTGCACAGGCAAAATTGTCCGCTTGATATTCTTTTTTTCGATTCGGATTAGGCCTGTTGACCCGTCACCTCAAGTTACCTAGAAAATGTGTGAGTTGGGGATACTCATAGACTCCCATAATCCCATACTGGTAAGTATGGAGGAATGTAGTTAGGTAAGTTGACCCCAGCTGAGAACAAATACCAAGACTAGATCGTTAAAATACTAGGCAGTCTAAAATAAAAAGGTTGTTCAGAAAAGCAAAACATTTTGAATGTGCAGTCAAAGCTTAAAGTTAGCACCAGGAAGTGGTCTGGGAAATAAAAGAGACAACGTAACATTCTAACTTCAAGCACCGGTTGGCAAACTAAAAAATTAGAAGAACACTATACATCCAGTACGTTTCAGTGTGTGGAAGAAAAAGCTCTTTAACTTAGATATTTTATCCTGTAACTTAATTGCTAGCTATGTAATCTATTGTATAGGATGCCAGAATGTTCTTACATACAATGTTGTTTCATTTCTGCAGAATGGCAGAGATCAGACGAAAGTTGGTGGTCATCGGAGACGGCACTTGTGGAAAGACATGTCTGCTGATTGTCTACACAAATAACCAGTTTCCCCAAACCTACTTGCCCACAGTGTTTGAGACGTTTGTTAAAGACCTCGTTGTCAATGATCGCCAGGTATGCGTGGGTTTTTTCTTCTAAACTTGCTAACGGATCAGAGCTCAATAGAGTTAAGAACCGACATAACGACACTAGGGGCATTCCCACGGGCGTCCCATCTTCACCTTCAGCAACAGCACAGAATTCCAATTCTTAAGGTACCAGTAGCTTATGCGTCCGTCCTGTCTTTCTGCAGAGTGTCAAACAGATCCTTTGGTTACCTCAAGCTGCATGCTGTATGCCGACTGTTGATTCCCTGCACTACGAATTCGATGGAAGCTCCCAATTATTCGGCTCTTACGACATGTTTTTGAGTAGACAGTGGGTCTCTTCTTGTTTTCTCCAAAATGGGGCCCCGGACCCCACACGGGAATTTGCAATATTGTTCATCCACACAGAACGATAATAACGAATCCTGGGTTTTATTTGTTTGTTTCTGTTGTACTTAGTATCAGCTATTTTTTATAAGCTTTTATTAATTTTGGTTTAGTTTGTTTGTTAATCTAGGCTAGATTTTGCGGTTTTTTTTTTAAACATCATTTTGTCAGCGCTACTATAATAGACATTTGTGATGATTATCGGGACCATTGTTGGACAGTTTTTAGAGACTAGAAACAAAAATCCCTGGCTAGCGCTACCAACTGGTGTTGGACTATTTCTGGCCGCAAAATGGAAGATGGCAGTTATGACTAAAACCACAAACTCCGGCAGATTTTAATACTACAGTAGGCTGTGACTAAAACAAACCACAATATCTATATCAACAGTAACATGCATCAGTCTGATAAGTTATGTCACAATATATTCACCATCACGTCATCAGTTCCACTTCTGCCGTTAAGCGTTGTGGGAAGGAACAGTTTGTGATCCATTACTTGATGGGCAACATTGGCTATTGTCATTCCGTGTCGATGTAGAAGCTTTTAAATGTCATCCATTCATTTGTCCTAGCGCGGTCTCTTGCTTTCCATGAGTAGCGGCTGCGTGGGCAGTTGTTTTGGCTGCATTCTTACTAAATGACTAAACCATTTGATCTTTTTTTTTTTTTTCAACGAATTTGCTGCATGTTGTTCCTACAGTTTATTTTATACAGTTGATTAGTTTCACGAAAACTCTTTGTGAAATCTTTACCATTTTTGTTTAACGACAAGATGTCGAGTGCTGTCTTCTACTCAGATGAGCAGGAACGTAGAAGCTCGGGTATATTAAGCCACCCCGCCTCCAGTTATGATATATTTAATTTCAGAAAACCTATTATTGCTTACCTCAACAAGACCAGCGTCTCCTGAGACCCCCTGCTCTTAGAAATTATATTTGGGGCTGAGGCCCCACTCCTAATGTTTTCTATGCGTCAGCGCCCCTGCTTCTAGTGTCTTTGATGCTTCCACAGATTCAGCTTGGGCTGTGGGACACAGCTGGTCAAGACGACTACGACAGACTGCGCCCGTTGTCTTATTACGATACGGATATCCTGCTCATTTGTTTCAGCATCAGTGATCCTGACAGCTTCAACAATGTCACGGACAAATGGTACCCAGAGGTTGGTTACTGTGTCTTTTATCACTATCAAATGCTTTGCGGACTAGCGGGGGCGATCATGACTCTCTATAACATGCACCAACATAATCTCCATAACCATAATTTCCAAAATTTCCAACAGCCATCCATGCCATGACCAAATCCCATCATTGAAGCCTATTTTGTTCTTTCTTATTTTAAAGCCTACCCCGCTGTCGTAGAGGGTCTCAATATAACCTTACGGTTGAACGGATTTCTAGGACTTCCTACGGTAGGAATTCTCATCTGAATGATGGCACTTTGTGTCATCGGATGTTAGCCGCTGGTTGCGCGGTTCTGGTAGGGGGTTGGATGTCACTCATGGCATGGCGAAAACCTGTCAAGAATCTTCTCACGTTGTCTTACTCTGTCCTTTCACGATCCTATATGTTGTATTTCTGTATGGTGAGACTGTTGAGCCTAGGGTGACCATAATATCTAGGGGCTGAAAATGGGACATTCCACAAATATTTTGAGCTGAAAAAGGGACATCCCAAGCGAGTCAATTTAACTCTACAACCCCCCTCCTTCTTTGTTTCGCCCTCTCCCCCCCCCAAAAAAAACGAGTTATTCTTTAATTTATTGTTATTATTATCCGAGCCAGCCTTTAATGGTTACCAGGCAAAGTCCTGGGAAGTAAACACGGCCGGCTTAATGCTAATCATATTACCTAAAAAAAAGCCTATATGCCTAATACGCATGAATGCGTGCAAAAGAATCCCTTACTTTTACTTAACTTTGGAATGACAAATAAATATAATAATATACATTGGAGAAAATAGTATTAGTAAGCAAGGACATGAAATGACTGAGATGGACTGTAGAAGTGACCAGAAAAGTTAACATCTGAAATAAGGTCAGAAAAGAAAAACCTGGGCACATAACCGATTTCAGATTACATACATAGACAGCAAATCAAATAGTTTGCAAGCTCAGAGGGAAGGCCCTGTTGCACCATACCATACAAGACATACACCAAAAAAGACGAAGACTTAGAGCACAAGGTAGACCAACCACAACATGGAAAGATCACGTCAAAGAAACTCTACAACACCTCAATGTATCTACGATCGAGGTGGCCAGAAGAGCGAAAAGCAGAACTGTATATATCTCCCTCGACATCCGCAGCGGTGACAGAGAAAGTCTTCTTCTTCGCGTTTACAGACTGTAAACTCCGGCAGAAAGTTCTGGTTGTTCCTCCAACTCTGCACTTGGGCTTTGTTCACAGAACTTGAGTTTCGGTGCACTCTCGTCTGACTGATCTGGCTTATTTGTATGCAGGCAGTTGGTTCCTTGTCTCTCAGGCAGATGCAGTCTGACTTCAAAGAAAACTCCTAATTAGTCGACTGTTACGACATGCTTGTTAGGGAGGTAATGAGTCTCCCCCCCCCCCCTCCCACCCTCTACCTCCGTGCTTCCCCTCCCACACACGAACAAACAAAATTGGACGCAGGAACACACGGGGATAAAGAAAGTGAAGAAAAATAATATTATACATTTTTCCCTGTGGGTTCCTGGTCCCTAAAGTGGGGGGGGGGGGGGGGGGGGGGAGAGAGAGAACAGACCCACTGCCTGCCCAAAAGCATGTTGTATGAGTCGACTGATTGGGAGCTGTCTTCAAAGTCGGAGTACATCTGCTTGAGAGGCAAGGAACCTCCAGTTTGCATGCAAATGAGTCAGACCTGTAAAATGGATGTGCACGCAGCACCTAGTTTTTGGAACAAAACTAGAGTCCAGAAATGAACGAACAACCAGATCTTTCCGCCGGAATTCACAGCCGGTGAACTAGAAGAAGAAGAAGATACATTAGAAAGAACATCTACTTGACTCCTTTGCAAATTGTCTAGAAGTGGGGAGTTGGGGTGTCAGTCTCCATAAAATAATTTCATGATGCCCAAGAGTTCTGAGCTCCCAGGTTCCATCAGCTATGAAAAAGACAGGTCATCTTATACCTTACTGATTTCAGGCTAAGCATTACTGCCCAGGCGTACCGATCATACTTGTGGGCAACAAGAAAGACTTAAGGAATGATCCAGAAACACTGGCTGAGCTTACACGGAAGAGACAGTCCCCTGTGACAACAGAAGATGGAAAAGCATTGGCTGCAAGGTTAGACAGCTAATTTCATCATGCATACAATTTTTTAAAATATACAAGAGCAACATTTTAGGAATATTATTATACAACAGTGAGTGTTGGAAAATAACAGCGGGAATTACACATTAACTAGAGACTTTTCAAAATAAATGTTTAAGGAGAATTCTACGAATACTCTGCCAAAACAAGATCACAAATGAAGAACTGAGGAGGAAAACAGAATGTGCATCCCTGGCAAATGTTATCAAAGTAAGACAATGGAGTTGGCTAGGACATGTTTGCGGAATGCCTTGTGACACTCTGGCAAAAACAGCTCTCCGATGGACAGCAGATGGGAAAAGGAGACGTGGACGACCTAAGGAAACCTGGAGAAGGACAATAGAACGGGACATGAAGGAATGTAAACTGACATGGGATACCATAGGCAGAAAAGCAGCAGACAGGCAGCAATGGAGATCACTTGTGAATGCCTTATGTGTCAACAGCGACATGAAGAGGATAGAGATAGAAACAATAATTTCCCCGTGTGGGTTCCAGGGCCCTGTTATAAGGAAAACAACAACAGACCCACTACCTACCCAAAAGCATGTCGTAAGAGTCGACTAACTGGGAGCTTCCTTCAAAACCGAAGTGCATCTGCTTGAGAGGCAAGGAACCAGCAGTCTGGATACAAATGAGTCAGATCTGTAAAACGGATGTACATGCGACACTCAGGTTCTGGAACAGGACTGCAGTCCAGAAGTGGTTGAACAACCAGAACTTTCCGCTAGAGTTTACAGCTGGTGAAGCAAAGAAGAAGAAGATACAAAAACCTGCCTATCCTTTACACGGCGTTGCAGAATCAACCCCAGCATGTTATGGCCGTTTGTGATTTTATAATGCAATACTACGTTTGATAGTTGCCATTACTCTCTTAACGGTCGGTTCTCAATGCGACCGTCTAAACCAACGCAGAACAGTTTGCAGTGAAATCACCTCCAGCTAGAATCGAACCCGGCAATTTGGAATTAAGAAATGCAGACTTATATTACACTATATATTAACGCTTTACTGTATGTAGAGAGGATCTATTTCATAACATCGGTTTTATCCCAGTTGGCTCGATCTCTCACAGTATTACACAAAAAGAAATATATATGCATATATATATATATATATATATATATATATATATATATATATATATATATATATATATATATATTCATATATACATACATATATATATATATATATATATATATATATATATATATATATATATATATATATATATATATATATATATATATATATATATAATAGTCTTGGTGGGTAGGATATAGAACTGCATGTGTGCAATAGTGAGAAACAAGTTAACAACAAATTGGAACAAGTTAAATTTTTTTTTTATCTTGGACAAGTAATAACATGTGACGGCAGAAGTGAAACAGAAGTCAAAAAAAAAAAAAAAATGGGGATGGCCAAAAACATTTTCAACTACATGCAAAAGTTACTGACATCAAGAGAAATAAGCAATACAATAAAAATGAGAATTGTCAAATGTTATGTATTCTCAACCTTACTGTATGGCACAGAGACATGGACAATGAACAAACAACTGGAAAATCGTATCAATTCTTTGGAGATGTGGATATACAGAAGATTAGGTCGTATTTCATGGAAACAAAAGCTATCAAATACAGAGGTACTGAGGAAATTGGGACTGAAAAGAGAGTTGCTAGGTGAAATAAAAAAGAGACAAGTGAAATATTTTGGCCACATTAAAAGACATAACAGTATTGTAAAGATCATCCTAGAGGGAAAGGTTCAAGGTAGGCGTGCAAAAGGCAGACAGCGTTACAAGTGGGAGGATAACATCAAGAGATGGACGAACAACAGTATGAGTGAGTGTACATCAAGGGCAAGAGACAGGGCTTGTTGGAGATCCATTGCAGCTAACCTTCATTGTTGAGACGGCACCTAATTGATTGAATAGTGAGAAATTCACAAACGAGGATTTTAATAGTTTGCCCCAAAAGAAGAAGAAATAAGACTCATCACCTTATCAAGACATGTAGAGTGTTCAGCTAAGAACTGACATCACAGTACTCGGGGTATTCCTATTAGGGCCCCAACCTCATCTGTCAAAGGCACTCCAAATGAAACCGCAGTCCACAGTGTCACGCCGACCACTCTGTTCAGTAGTTGTGTGTCGGAACTACTGTCAGTCTAAACAGGGGGAGTGAGGGAAGATACAACGGCTAACGACAGTCAGAAGCAAATAACAGCTTAAAACAGTCAGCTTGTCTATCTGCCATATTGGACCGGAAGTCAAGGGAAGTGGAATGAGATTGGTCTGTTTCCTGGTACCTAAAGAGTTAATGAATGTTACTTAATCTGTCTAAGTAACGGCAAAGTAGTTGACATATTTCCACGACCAGCAGCAAACAGTTTAGGGCGCTAGGCTTGTATTTTTCAACAGAAATACAAATAGATACCCGATGGCTGGTATGACTAGTAAGATACCCGCCACATTTATTTCGCAGAACATTTCCAGGTAAACGTTTCCAAGCTGAGCTAAAAAACCATTCTAGTCGAAAGAAGAGCCTAACAGAAAAATAGGACTTTAGCCGGAACTCATGTATTTGATAAACACGACAGTGAAATACATTTTATGTGAATTCTACAGGCACCAGAACGGAATAATTATGATGGATGCGACTCGTCTGCCGCGAAGTAGTTAGTAAATTTTACCCCACTAGGACATCACACAGAGCGTTAAACACCCGGCGACACAAAGTGCCATCATGCGGATGAGGATCACCCGTAGAGAGGTCCTGGAAATCCCGTTTAACAGTTATGTTATATATTAGGGCCCCCGGCAACAGCGAGGGTGGGGCTAAAAAATAACGAAAAATTGCATTCCACAAAGGGACGACTTAACAATCATTCACCTGCTTTGAAGCTCGAACTTTGACTAACGACTAAGAAGAATGAGATAAAGAAGGAGATTGCTAATGTATACTTTATGTGGAGTAATTAATAAACGTATAGTAAGTTGTTTGACACTGAAAGGTTTAGGATGTGTATTTAGTTATGCGTTCTCTACATGCAGCTCATATATATTTGTTTACAGGATAGGCGCTGTTGCTTACATGGAATGTTCTGCTAAAAATAACGAAGGAGTCAGGGAAATATTTGAGAAGGCAGCCAGTCATCCCATCAAATATTACAAGAATTACAAAGGAAGATTTTGCAGAATTTTTTAATTATCTCTATTTCATGCTGGACACAATGCGTGTGATTTTTGTATTTCTGGGTGCGGTTACGATTCTAATGTCAAGTGCGAAATGCCAGTCAAAACTCAGAATAAGATAAGCAAGCAATGTTTCCAACAACATCTAAAGAGATAAATATATTAAAAACAGAATTGTAAAACGGAACTGTAAAATGTAAAGTGTAATCAATACTGCTACAGTAAACGGTGGATAAACTTGGAGAATGAACAATAAATCAGAAAGTCAAACTAAATCGGAATGGAGAGTAGATGCGTACATAACGTTAGATTATATTTCACTGAGATAAAAACAGAAACACAGAGGTTTTCGAGTGAGTGGGAATGAGAAAATAGTTATTAAAATAAATAAAGAGTCAACATTTTGGTCACATTAAAAGTTTTAATACTCTTATAAAAACTACTGGAAGTAAAAGCTTAGGGCAAGTGAGCAAAGGATGGACAGCAATGCAAGAGATAGAATAGCAAACAGCCTGAGAGCTACAATCAACCCTGAGAATATTGGAGGTCTGTTACAGCTAGCCTTTATTGTGGTGATGATATTTAATCGACTGATTATTCATGCAAGTGTACGCCTTAGTTTAACCAGAGTATGCTTTAAAAAATGATTAAACAGCACTATCTTAACAGTCTCAGGTTGAGCACCAGCAAGAAAATGCAGGTCAAAATATCTAGCCTGTAGCAACATACAGATGTGAATTGAGGAATATCTCGCAGTCATTAAGAAAGAAAATAGGTGGGTATGAATTGAAACGCTATATAAAGATTCCCAGAATAGCTTGTACCAAGATGATGGTCCTACAAACAACACGCAGAAAACCTAGCTAGACAGACATGGGAGCTACAACACTAAGAAACGCACAATGAAATATGAGTATGAACAGGAGCCAAAATTATAACTAATGTTATCTAGGAAGGGTTAGGTCCCTAGGTACCGGTTGAACTTGGTCAGTTCAAATGATGATGATGATGCATGGACCAAGCAGAGAAGAAATATCGACATTCCCCAAGACCTGAACAACAAGGAAGATTGACTAGTAAACAGCAACTTGTCTCAGAAACTAAAATATTTTGACTATATCTAGCACAGCAGAGGATAGGAAGGTTTACCAGCAGAAGGTATGGTGCCAGAAAATTGTGGCGAAGACCGACTAGCACGGCAAGGAGTGCGTACGTGACAACTTAGGCATGAAAGTGTACGAGACGGGAGATACTGCAAGTTTCTTTCAGGCTAGCTGTGATGGGAGCGACGTTCTGCAAAGTAGCTGCCTGTTTTACCACGGCAAGCCCGTTTTACTTGAGAGTTAAAAAGTGCAAAGAGAAGGTCACTTACAGAGATAATGTAGGTGGAATGATATCTGCTGAAGTAAATATCAAGAAGGCCGAATACTGACGAAGAAGGAGAAGAGTAAATTAAGGAACTTTAATTTCATACACCAAGTCGGAGTCATCTGCCTGAAAGGCGGCAAGGAACCAACAATCTGCATATACGCAATTCAGATCTGTAAAACGGATGTGCTCGCAACACTCAGGTTTTAAATCAAGACTAAAGTGCAAAGGTGGACGAACAACCAGAACTTTACACCGGAATTTATATTCGGTGAACGCGAAGAAGAAAAAGAAGTAGAAGAAGAAGAAAAAGAAGAAAAAAAAAAAAAAAAAAAACACCGACGGAAAATGGACGTTACAAGCACTGAATTATATTACTACATTCCTTGTATATAAACAAAAAGTGTTGAAAGTGTGTTTTAATAGACAAGAGTTTAAAACTTGTGCAAAAATAAAGAAAGTAAAACAAAAGTCCGTTTTTTTTTCTTCTTTCCAGGAAGACTAAAAGCTTATTAATTCCTAATGACCACTGCAAGCATGCATCTAACTCAGTGTTTTCCACTTAACAATTCACCCGTATGTGTATTCTCATCAGCTCATACATAGGTATACCCACACATATGTACGTACGTACATACATATATATACATACACCCATTTACATACCTACGTACTTACATACATACACTCATTTACATACATACATAGTACTTAAATATATACATACATAGAACTTACATACATACATACACCTATACACATAGATCACTTTGTGGGCTCCGGAAAAATAATAAAAAGCCCACTGCGTGTCCAAAAGCATTCTGTAGGAGTCAATTAACTGAGATCTTCCTTCGAAGTCTGAGTACATCTGCCTGAGAGGCAAGGAACCAACAGTGTGCATGGAAATGAGTCAGACCTGTAAAACGGGTGTGCACGCAACACTCAGTTTCTGAACATCTGAACATGATCAGAGTCCAGAAGTGGACGAACAACTAGAAATTTCCGCCAGAATTTGCAGCTGGTGAACGCAGAGAAGAACAAGAAGACATACACACAACCACATACATACATACATACCCACATATATACATACACACCCACATACATATGTACTAAAAGCGAAAGGCCGTAAGTACCAAGAAAGAAAATATTCTTTAGTGAATCAAAGGTAATTCTTCTTTAGAACAAATACTGCTACTGTCTGAGTTGCTTTTCGTGTTATCACGTTGAGTTTTTTAAACACTATTCATTGCTTTTCAAATACGAAGTGAAAGTTAAGTATTATTAGTTTCACAAGAAATAGACATGAATATTTATGCCATTATTACGATTTGATTTAAGACACACACACACAAATGGCAAAAGAGAAAGTGCCAGCCACGCTCTGAGCTTTTCAGCATTTTTAATTGAAGCTTACTTATTAGGTTGGCGTCCGACAGCTATGTCGCCGGTGAACCAGGGCTAGTGTAAACACTAGAGGCCACCCCAGTTCTGTGTGTTTCTTTATAGTGCTCAGAAGATACACCCAGCCCAACTCTTCCCAGACATCATACATACACTGTAGCCCACTTCTGTTCTTTGGAATGCTGATGTCACACTCAGGTTCGTCTTTAGTTTGCTACAGGAGGGGTCAATCGGAAGGGAACAGACGAGGTGAAAGATGGTCGTGTTAATAATGGTGATTCTTCTTCTTCTTCTTTCGTTTGCCTGAAATAAGTTGTCTATATCAGCAGTTTTGTCTCTTGTATAAATTTCACTGTCGTTGTTAGTGCATTTAGTGGTCCATAAAGTTTACGTTCCACTGTTGTTCTTTCTGGCCAAAAGGTTTGCCTTAATGTGTCAAATTCGGTGCAGTCCTGGAGTACATGCTCTGCTGTCTGGGGCACATTTCCACAGGTGCACATGGCTGATATACCTATCTTGAATTTTGTGTACATGTGGTTACGATTTGGTGATGATTATTATGTCTTGCTTGCTGCATGCTTCTCACGTGGCTCTGCTGCTTGTATAATAAAATGTCTGGAAGCAACTCTTCTTTTATGTACTGTATTTATTGTTATGCCTCAGCAATGTCACAAATAACATCAATGATATTCTGAATGGCTATGGTTTTCACTCTATGGTTACTTACTCTTGAAGTCGCATTGTGTTCTTTATCTCTAGTTACTTAGTTAACTGGTTCTAGTGCCTGTAACTGCCACCTGGCTTCTACAAATTTTGTTTATTGTGATCGATTTTGTAAAGTTTACATAAACTGTTTGTTTTTTCTTACCAACTTTTTCTCTTCCCTATAATTTCCTAACCCTTTAAAAACACCTGGCTTCTAGTGCTGTCTGGTACTAATCGCTTAATTGTTGACTCTATCATCTCAATAGTGTTTCTATCTATTGTGTGTCTGTTGACCATGAATTCATGTATCTTCTCTGTTGTGTCTGTAGTTCGATGTCTTGTTTCATGTCTCCTCTCTAATGTCTGTCTTTGAGGCTCCATGTAACTGGTTCCTCTGCTTCTAAGTCTCGATGACTGAAGATCTCTTTGAGGGTCAATGTTATTAGTCCCTCGTCTTCTGAGTCTGGCAGACTGAAGGATTTCTTTGAGGGTAAATATTGCTAGCCCCTCCTCTTCTAAGTTGAAGGTCTTCCCTGAGGGTCCATATTACTAGCCTCTCCTATTCCAAGTCTCAATGAATGACAGACTGCCTAAGTGGTTTCTTACCCATTATTTTTACTGAGTCGCTGGAATATGTGGCATGTGTTTTCTACTCACTACTGCTTCTGGAATATTCTTGTATACTAAAACTTGTTTACTATGTATGTTTTCACGTGGGATTTTCTAATTACATCTCGATTGCATCATCTAATTCTGCACCTAAATACACTCATTTGTTTGACAGCTGTCCTCATGGAGACTTCCAGAAAGCCAGTACTACTACGTTTTCTTTGATAGGGCTCTTCAACAATTACATCATATTCTATTTATAGACTATTCATTTGCAAAATATTTCTCTGTTAATAACAAATAAGGATATGCAACTAACGTAAAGTTATAAACATGTGTTTTTGTGACAAATATTAAAGTATCCCCAGTTTAATTTGAAGGTGCGGAGAGTTAAACACATGATTTATTTGTCTGACCAAACATTACAATAAACAACTGAGAAACTGAAAATATCTCATACTTTTTATTACCTCAGTGCCCTAATTACCAAAAATAGGAGCTGTTCCAAAGAAGTTGGACCAAAGTCAAAGCAAAAAGTAAACAGAATTAAGAGCTTATAAGACACTTTAGCAATTTAACTAAAGTTAAAATGTTGAGGGCAGGCGTCTTTCCTATGGCAATAGATAGGTGTGAGTGACGCCTTTAATAACTTTTCATTTTTGTATGTTAGGTCTGAAATGAACTATAATAATCTCTGGCACCTTTTAAAGAAATATGGTCGAGATAATTTTGCTGCAACTGTTAATAAATATTTTTAATTTATACTGTTTGCCCATCAAATTTCAATCCTTTGACACATTTATGTTTCTCACTTTGCAAAGCTTTTATTCTGAAAATTTATGAGAAAGGATTTATAATTTTTTTTACACATTTTATTTTAAACAGAAATAATCTGATACAAATGTAGAATATTAAGTAAATTTATCAAAAGGAAAGTGATTACATTAAATTACAGTAGGTGTTTGTTAAGAAAGAAAAATATAAGTATGGCAAGTGAGGGACATAGTAAGTTAAAAAAAAATTTTTTTTTTAAACATCAGGCAACAGAGAGGGTGGGGAGCCATAGTAGTAGTGGCTAGATACTTGCTTGGTGTCCTGAATTTCTTTGGTTTCAATCCGCATGCAGATTAGCAAATAGGAAACACTGTTATACACCATTCCTACCCATTCATCCCCTTTTGAAACTGCATGGAGTCAAAATATTTTTTAAAAATATCTTGGCTTCTTATAATGGGTACCAGTAAAATCCTGGGAAGTAAACGTGGCTGGCACGCTGATGACCACATCACCCACTGAGTGTCAATCGCTCTATAACAAATATAAATCTAGCATCATAAGCCCACTGCGCCAACGGTGTGAACAGGGCTGCTGACTTTACTTGTAGTTATTTTATTACTGACCCCGTCACTTTGTTTCTTTAAACCTTTACTTCTCAGTGTTATAATTTTGATTATTAGTTAAAGTATTTAATTTCACTGGGTATTAGGAACAAAAGTAGGACTCATATGACAACAAAAGATTTCTAAACAATTTGGAATGCTGTTAGATTTGATTATTTCTGATTACTTGCAAATCCTGTTTCACCAACTCCGCTTACACAAAACAAACTTAAGCTTTAACAAGCAATTTTCCTTTAGCTGTGCTTTTGAAGATTTCAATAAAGGTTTCAGGCAGTTTTAAAAATCCTTCTCGGATAGTTTCTGCAAACTTCAGCTTTCCCTGGAGAAAAAAAGAAGGATTGCCAATTAGCAGTTCCTCAGCACTACAATAATTATCACACTAAAAGAATTCTGATAAATATTAAAATATGTCATGCAACTACTAAAACAATTCTAACAAACACTAAAATATTTCTGACAGACACTATAACACTTCTGGCATACACTAAAACATTTCTGGCAAACACTAAAACATTTCTGGCAAACATTAAAACATTTCTGACAAACATTAAAACATTTCTGGCAAACACTAAAACATTTCTGGTGAACATTAAAACATTTCTGGCAGACATTAAAACACTAAAAAATGTCTGGCAAACACTAAAACATGTCTGGCAAACACTATAACACTTCTGGCATATACTAAATCATTTCTGGCAAACATTAAAACATTTCTGGCAAACATTAAAACATTTCTGGCAAACACTAAAACATTTCTGGCGAACACTAAAACATTTCTGGCAAACATTAAAACATTTCAGGCAGACATTAAAACATTTCAGGCAGACACTAAAACATTTCTGGCAAACACTAAAACATTTCTGGCAAACACTAAAACATTTCTGGCAAACACTAAAACATTTCTGGCGAACACTAAAACATTTCTGGCAAACACTAAAACATTTCTGGCAAACACTAAAACATTTCTGGCAAACATTAAAACATTTCTGGCAAACACTAAAACATTTCTGGCAAACACTAAAACATTTCTGGCAAACACTAAAACATTTCTGGCAAACACTAAAACATTTCTGGCAAACACTAAAACATTTCTGGCAAACACTAAAACATTTCTGGCAAACACTAAAACATTTCTGGCAAACACTAAAACATTTCTGGCAAACACTGAAACATTTCTGGCAAACACTAAAATATTTCTGGCAAACACTAAAACATTTCTGGCGAACACTAAAACATTTCAGGCAGACATTAAAATATTTCTGGCAAACACTAAAATATTTCTGGCAAACACTAAAACATTTCTGGCAAACACTAAAATAATTTCTGGCAAACATTAAAACATTTCTGGTAAAAAACACTAAACAATAAAAGATATTAAGCCTAAAATGGGCAGAAGTAAAATCCTGACAAGTAAAGGTGGCTGGCGTGATGCTGACCATATCGCCCATCCAGTGTGGATCAGTCTATACAAATATGAGTCTAGCACTCTACATTGCATGTTGTTGTTCGTCCATCACAAGAGTTCTTGTGAGTTCAGGAGTAACTTATAAGCTCCGTACAGGTGCAGAAGAATCTTTTGCCACTGAGCGGCACCTGAGCAACAGTAGATAAACAAATAACAGTAGATTTTTTTCTCCAAACCCCTTCTTTCTGTACAGTACATGATTACGACACAACAGTAGATGAAAAGTAGAAAACAAAATAACAGTAGATGAACAAACAACGGCAGATGAATAAACAATGGTAGGTCAACAAACAACAGTAGATGAACAAACAACGAAAGATGAAAAAACAACAGCAGATGAACAAACAATGGTAGATGAAAAAACAACAGTAAAAGAACAAACAACAGTCTCAGTGAGAATAGAACAAGTATGATGAAGATTCATTGCAGGTAATATTTACTGTGGAGATGGTACCTCCATGGTTGGAAGCACTTCTTGCTAATACCAAAACCTACTGGGAAACTCAAGTTCGAACCAAACAGATCCTGAAATCTAATACATCTACAAATAAGAGACTCACTTCTCTAATCCACTGCGCCATTTCTGTTCTTGCCTCGTTGAATCGATCACTGAATGTGTACACCATCACCCCACTGACTACAAGTTCCTTCAGCATGATTGTGTTAATTATATCCCTGCGCGTCAACACATCTGGGGAAAAAAAGTACAAATGTAGTCATGGTTTATTATCATATAACTGTATAGTTAGTGCATCTGCAGGTGATGATGATGATGATGATGATGCAGAAACATGCAAGTGGTACAACCAGAGGTTGATGATGTTTTTGCTGTTGTTGTGATCAATTCAGTGGGGAATGAGCTTTGACCCACTGCTATGTAGTGGAATTTACACGTATTCACAAGCTGTTCTTTTCCTCCACACAAGGTGTTCCACTTGTCTGGTCACGGATGAAGTGGTATTCTCCTAGTCTCCCTGAGTTTTGGGCAGTCAAAGAGATGATGGTCAACAGTTTCATAGTCCTACAACCCCCTATGTTCTTCTTCTTCTTCTTCTGCCTTTCTATCCCCCAATGAAGCATAGGCCCTCAACCAACTCCCGCCAAGTCGTTCTATCCTTCGCCTTTGCATGGAGCTCTCCCCATGTCCTCCCCATTTTTCTAACTTCATTCTCCAGCTCTCTGTTCCGTGTGTTTTTTGGCCTTCCTTTATTCCTATGCCTGTGGGTTCCAATGCAAAGACATTCTAGTTATGCTGTTCTCCTGTTTTCGCAGTGTGTGTCCTATCCAACATCAGCATCTTTTCCTCACCTCTTGGTCCACTGGAGCCTGTTTAGTTCTCTCCCAAAGCTCTACATTAGTTTTTCTATCATACCATTTAATTCCTTTTGTTCTGCGCAGGCACCAGTTAATGAATGTTTGTAGTTTATTAGTAATTGCTTTAGTTGTTCTCCATGTTTCCGCCCCATACAAAAGTACTGATTTGACATTAGAATAAAAATTTTTTGTTTAGTATTTCTTTTAATTTGTTTTGACCTCCATAAATTCCCTAGTGCTATGAAAGCTTCTATTGCCTTTTGTATTCTTATTTTAATATCTCTATCAGTTCCTCCATCTTTATCTACATTACTGCCAAAATAGGTGTACGACTCCACGTCTTGGAGTGGGGTGCCATTAAGGGAAACCACATTACTATTTGCCTGATTTATTCTCATTATCTTTGTCTTTCCTTTATGGATTTTCAGACCAAGCTGCTGTGATCTCGCATTTAGTATATTTAATTTATCTTGCATCTGATTCCGTGAATGGGACAGAAGGGCAATATCATCAGCGAAGTCTAGATCATCAAGCTGTTTTGTAGGGGTCAACTGAATTCCATTCTTGGTGTTAGCAGTTACTGTTGTCACAATCCAGTCTATAGCCAGTTAATATAAGAGAGGCGACAAAAGACATCCCTGTCGCACACCTGTTTTTATTTCAAATGTATTTGTTAGCTTTCCCTCATGAAGAACTCAACATTTCATGTCTTTATATGTTGCCTTTACTAAGTTGATAATTTTCTGTGGGATTCCATAGTGCCCCATCAATTTCCAGAGAGATTCCCTATCAATGCTGTCAAATGCTTTTTCATAGTCTATAAATCCAATGTAAAGTGGTGAGTTCAGTTCAATGCTTTGCTCTATAATAATACGTAATGTGGCTATCTGATCAGTACAGGATCTGTTTGACTGAAAACCTGCCTGTTCATCTCTTAGCTTTTTATCAATAGTCTTCATAAGTTTTGGGCATTCAAAGAGATGATGGTCAACAGTTTCTTAGTCCTACAACCCCCATGTCCTACAACCCCCATGTCCTACAACCCCCATGTCCTACAACACCTCATGTCCTACAACACCTCATGTCCTACAACACCTCATGTCCTACACCATCCTAAAATACTGGAAGTTCAGGCAATATTTTTAAAACTATGCAGCCCTTCTCTAGAGTGTTGAGGGTGGTTGAGTGGTCTACAGGTATGGCATCTGCCTCAAGTGCTAGAGGTCCCTGGTTCAGGCCCCGATGAAGGCTAGTGATTTTTTTCACATGGATTTCTAGTAATTTTCCCTAGTCTCTGAGTAGTCAGATCAGATGCCTGTGTGTTTTGTTACACACTCAAAAAATACTTAGCAGTTGGAAATAAAAAAAGAAGAGTAGTCTAAAGCCTGAGCAAAATTTGGAGTTAAAAATCTACTCAAAAGTTTTTCAGGATCCTAGCCGGTGCTACGGAGATCGTGCACTGCGTTGACATTCTTAGGACTCAGGCTTGAATTAGAAGTAGAACGGAGCACTTATGGGTTACTACCCTTGTGCCATGATGATGATCCATTGTTTAAAACCTAAATCTTGCATTTTTACAGACCAAGTTTCCAGTACAGCCAAGGTTCTAAGGATTATAATCTTTACATGGTGTGCATTATACATCGCACAAGCAAGTAAAAGTATAAGTCTTTTTTCCAAGCTTTTAGGCGTATAGGGCATATAGGGTTAGACCTATATTTTTTAAAGACCAATCGGCACAAGATGGGTGATGTGGTCAGTATCACGCCGGCTGCCTTTACTTCCCGGGACTGCACCCAGTACCCACTGAAGGCTGGGTCGACCTGGGAGTCAAGGACATTTTTGAGAAAAGTCAGGCTCTGCGAGGGAGCAAACCCACGACTTTCCGATCTGCGCACGAGCCTATAGCAGCTAGGCCACGGCGACTCCCACATCGCATAAGGCTCATGGATTATTCTTCCACTCTATTCTTTCCTGTGCAATGGTTTCAATATCATGCATGAATCCACTGTGAATCCTCCCTTTTGGCCTCTCTCATTATTACAATTCATCTCAAAGATTGGGGGGGGGGGGGGAGAGGGGGCATCCAGCTTCATGATCCACTGGTTACATAATCAGGTAATATCAGACGGGTCAACCCATAGCTGCTCTATTTCTGTGTCAACAAAACCCTAGTATTTTCATTTTATTAATGTCCCTCCCCCCCCCCCCCCCCCCCCCCCAATTCCACATGTGATTAGCATTTCCCAAAAGGTTGAAATGTATAAATAAAGCTGGCTGTGCAACCTTCACAAGATGTTGCAAAACCAACCCCAGCATTTTTATGTTTAGTTTTACTAGGCAAATTTAACTTCAGACTTTTGCCTTTGCTATCTGGATGTTCAGCACTCCACATCACTGCTGAAATCCAATCAAAGCAGTCTGCTGACTGCAGTGCACATTAAAACAGGTATTTCAGAATTACCTGAGGGGCAATTTTCTCCCCTGTTGATACACAAGCAGATACCCCGGAGTACCAAAGTGAATCTTATCAGAACTATTTTCTGGCCAACACTATGCTATCAGTGCCAAACGTGGACACTTATATCTTCCAATGAACAAAAATTGTTACAACAGAGATTAAATGCCTTAGAAGAGTTACAGAAGTTTCAAGGAAAGAGAACACGAAATCAGACGAATGCTAGGAATAAAACTAGTCTTACAAGTCATCGAAGAACAACAAATAAAGTGGTTTGGACACCTAACAAGACTGCCCTGGTACTATCTGCCACAGCGAGCCACACTAAAATGTTACAACGGGTATAGAGCGAGTGGAAAACCTCGGAAAATATGGAGTGATGGCATTAAGAACAGCCTTACAGAAATGAACATCAATCTTAATAGTGCTCTTGACAGAGTTCATCAACAAATGTTACATCTCCCCCACCTCCCGACACTTAGCTGAGGTACAAGGTGGAAGAGAAGAAGAAGAAGAATTTCAGAATTACAAAATGCATTTTAGTGCCTAAGCTTCAAATGCTGGTAAAAAGGCATAACAGTGATGCTGATTTTGTACAGTGTGATCAACAACTCAAAAACCTACCTGGAGGTATCTTAGTAGCATTGTACTCAGATATCTGGCCACACGCACAAACACGTCCATGCCGATTCATCAATGGTAGAACTGTGCGTGTGTATTCCCTACCAACCTGGAAATCATAGACAAAACCTGTATGTGTAAGTTATCTCAGAAATCATGGACAAATCTATATGTTTATGTTTTCTCAGAAATCATTGAAAAATCTGTATGTTTTCTCAGAAATCACACACAAACCCATATATGTAAGTTTTTTCAGAAAACCTCACAAGTGGAATTTCCTTACCAACCTGAAAATCATAGAAAAACCCATATGTCTATGTTTTCTCAGAAAACATAGACAAAGCAGAACAGGAATTTCATTAGCAAAGTGGTTAGGCAGTTTGTCTCACATCCTGGAGGTTATGGGTTTGGTTTCTGACTTCATTAGTTCCGTATCATGTGTATGGATCAACTTCTTCTTCTTGTGCATTCGATATCAGCCATGCTAAACATTCAGTCCCATTTGGGTCTAAACAGATTGGTGCGTCTTGGTGCCAGTCCGCTACAGGTCCTGTAGTATGTTATGGCAATAACAGTCCTGAAATCCTCAGAACTTTAATGTGGAAGACTTTTCTTATTGCTCTTGCTAGTCAGACCTGTCAAATTGCTATGGCCCATACTATGGGCATGGATTCCTACACCTCCCTGAGGCACAAGATAACACAACTGTCTGACAAGAAAGAAAGTTGCTAACTTTAAAAATATTCTAAAGAAATGAGGAAACACACTATGATCCATGTTTTATAGCTGAAAATACATTCATAATATTTTGCCTATTTTTAAGATAATAAAAATATAACACAGATTATAATTTTATCTGTTGTATTTGTAGGAAAGTATTTAAAAAAGGCAACAGGAAAATTACGAGAACTCACATTATCAAAATAACAATCCACACCATTAGGAGCATACTTTTGCAAAGCTTCTTCAACACTGATCTCCTTGTAGTTGAATACATGATCAAAGCCTAGTTCTTTAAGCCAATCACATTTCTCCTTGGAACTTGTGGAACCAATTACAGTGCAGCCCTGGACGAAACAGTGAAAGTGAGTTACTGAACATGACCAGGATCCATACAACTGTTAACTCTTTGAGTCCCAAGGAACGCATCATACGTTCATAGGTTCCTACCTAGAAGCCCAATGAATGCATGATGCGCCGATTTTATTACTTTCTTGACTACCCCCTGGGCCTGTGATGCTAAACCCCCTGGGACTCAAAGAGTTAAAAAGAATCTGGAAACATACGTGTCTTTATATATTTAAAAAAAAAAAAAAGTTATTTATTAGCTAGCACCCTTTACCACTTTCAGTATCAAGAAACATGTGATGTGTAATATATTCTTGCTGTGAATCTCTATAATCACATAATGTGTTGTCTCAATATTTACATTAAGTTTCATCATACCAAAGAAATAAAGCCTTCGCAGTGTCCACATCAGTGTATTTTGTACAAGAAGAAGTCAGTATTTAACATCTTCAGATATTTGCAACAGTTAACAGTGGTTACTGCTGCTACTTATTCTTTTTTTTCCTGGAATGCCTTACAACTTCAGGGCAGGAAGAGATCTCTGAAAGGGCCCTTCTATTTGCTTTGTATAAAGAAATTTTCAGTGTCTCAGATATTTCTGCAGTCCATCTTCTGTGTGGTTGTCCTCTGGTTCATTTACCACTGCATCTGTATAAAAATGCTCTCTGTGGTGTCCTGTCTAGTGCCAATATTGTGCATATCTGGCCTATATCATATTTTGTGTGGTCGTGTGGTCATTTCTTCATTGCATGAATAACATCCTAAGGTCTTTCTCTCCACTTTGTGAAACTTACCGGTCTTAACCTAGCGATCAACAGGGCTCCTATCGACTGCACAACTTCCATGCCCAGCACACAAATGATTGTGAATGTACACCAGTTTCCTTTTCAACAACAAGAAAATCAGGAACAATTGTCTGTAACATATATTGTCTGCACATGGCATTCTAGCGTTCTGTGCAGCGGTTGATTATGTCCAGGATACAATGCCATACATGAAATCTGCTCGTAGTATCAAGAAAGCATTCTCCTTTTTAAAAATTGTTCTGGCATGTGTGTGTGTGTGTGTGTGCAGGCATCTGTGTGTGTGTGTGTGAGAGAGAGAGAAAAAGAAAGAAGACAGAGAAAGAGAGAAGGGAGACAGGGAAGGAGTTAGAGACAAAGAAAGAGACACAGAAGGACTGAGAGACGGAGAGAGGAAAGGAGAGAGGGAAGTCAGGACAGAAAGAGAGAGAGAGAAGAGAAAAGAGACAGCAAGAGAGAGAGAGAGAGAGAGAGAGAGAGAGAGAGAGAGAGAGAGAGAGAGAGAGAGAGAGAGAGAGAGAGAGAGAGAGAGAGAACAGAAAAGAGACACACAGAGAGATTTCAAAAGTACTGAAACTTACACTTGATATATTCTCCAGATTAAAACATCTATAGGTTTACGCTTATTCACCAGCGTTATTTCCAGTATAAAATATTTCTGTCAGTCTTTTGAACAACCTGTACCTGCTTACCTTGATTTTAGCTATCTGACCCACCACACTGCCAACGGCCCCTGCTGCAGCATTGACTAGAACAACATCACCTGGCTTTGGATGGCATTTCTCCAAGAATCCAAAGTATGCAGTCATTCTTGTGCAAGAATAAATATAGGCAAAATAATCAAACAGTCTACACATGATCAATTTTCCATAAATTGTAAAATGGACAGCTGTAATTTTACTACCATACTTGGTTTAAAAAAAAAAAAAAATGCACTGGTTGCCAGGTTGACCCATCCTTAAATGGGTAACAGGTAAAAGTTGTGGAAAGTAAAGGCGGCTGGCACGATGTTGACTACATCACCCACAGAGTGCTGATTGGTCTATAAAATATAGATCTAGCCTATTTGGCCAAAACACATAAAGATGCGGAAAAGGGTCCTTTTCTTTGTTTTTTTACTTTATAACAAGTTAAAGCTATCAAAGTTCTCCAGTCCATGGCTGAACCATTTGCCTCATACTCTGAAGGTCATAGGTTCGTTTCATGGCTTTGTCGTTTGGTTCACAACTGCAATTTTTACAGATATCCTCAGGGATCGTTGCCTGAGCTGCAGAGCTCATGCTCTGTGCGACTCTCATGGCAGGTGGCTAGCTGTTCTGCCGAGAGGGAGAGTGAGCCATCTGGGATAAAAATCTGGTGCAATGAAGTCAATCCACTTAACTTGAACTTAACAGCTATTGATTTACACTGTACAAACACAAGCAGAGAAAGTAATACTTCACAATAATGACATCTGTCTGAAACAAACATACTGTTTAGTATCCAGCATTCATTGATGTCAATACACATATTATTTGATACTATTATTGTTATAACATAAATTTTAAAACGTAAAGTAAGATCCCTTTTCACGCCTTTGAGCATATCCGGCATATGGAAAGAGCGCCCATATTTTTACAGACTATCGGCACTAGATGGGTAATGTGGTAAGAATTACTCCGGCCGTCTTTACTTCCTTAGGACAGCCATCCTATTTAAGGCTTGGTTCACCTGCAACCCCCCATACCATGATAAAAATCCACGCAGCCAGCAGTGGGTTTCGATCACGGTGCGTTGCAATTACGAGTTGGACTCACAACGCCTCAGCCACGGATGCCGCAGAATATATATTATTACACTATTATTATTATTATTATTTCTCATGACATAGATAATCTACATTTGTATCCACACTGTGTAAAACTATTTCCTCAAAGACAGTCATTTCTTTATACCTAACTAGTTTTATGTTATCTTGCTGTCCTTTTTAGGATGACATTTTTCGTTATTTAAAGCCCTACTCTGGCTCATACCAGGGACCGCAATATAGCCCGGCCATAAATATGGTCTAATGGCTAAATGTGGTTTCTGGGACCTCTCCACAGTGATCCTCATCTACATGGTGGCACATTGTGTCATCGGGTGTTTATCGCTTGTGTGATGTCCTGGTGGGGTAGAAAATCAGTCAGTTAACTAGTTTTATAAATGCATGAGCACACGTGTATGAAGATATTCAGTCTAAAGACTATTATGATGTTTCTGAAAATGTCCTCCCACGCTCACAATGTTCACAACCAAGTTTTATTTTTTTTTAAAGATAATGTGGTTGTTTCCCAATGACATGCATATCCTCATGGATGGTTTATGACCTCTGAATTTAATTAACGTCTGGTTAACTGGACAAGTGTTTGTCCTGTCCTGCGCAGGTACAGAACTGACCCCTTATTCTGAGAGAGAGAGAGAGAGAGAGAGAGAGAGAGAGAGAGAGAGAGAGAGAGAGAGAGAGAGAGAGAGAGAGAGAGAGAGAGAGAGAGAGACACACACACACAGAAAGCGAGACAACACACACACACACACAGAAAGAGAGAGAGAGACACACACAAACAGAAAGAGAGAGATGGAGACACACACACACACAGAAAGAGAGAGAGAGAGACACACACACACACAAACAGAAAGAGAGAGAGAGAGACACACACACATACACACAAACAGAAAGATACAGAGAGAGAGAGAGAGAGACACACACACAAACAGAGAGAGACAGACACACACACAAACAGAAAGAGAGAGAGAGATAGAGAGACACATACTCACAAACAGAAAGAGAGAGAGAGAGACACACACAAACAGAAAGAGAGAGAGAGAGAGAGACACACACTCAGAGAAAGCGAGACAACACACACACACACACAGAAAGAGAGAGAGAGACACACACAAACAGAAAGAGAGAGATGGAGACACACACATAAACAGAAAGAGAAAGAGAGAGAGAGAGACACACACACAAACAGAAAGAGAGAGAGAGAGAGAGAGAGACACACACACACACAAACAGAAAGAGAGAGAGAGACACACACACATACACACAAACAGAAAGATACAGAGAGAGAGAGAGAGAGAGAGACACACACACAAACAAAAAGAGAGACAGAGAGAGAGACACACACACACACACAAACAGAAAGAGAGAGAGAGAGACACACACACACATACACACAAACAGAAAGATACAGAGAGAGAGAGAGAGAGAGAGAGAGAGAGACACACACACACACAAACAGAGAGAGAGAGAGACACACACACAAACAAAAAGAGAGAGAGAGAGATAGAGAGACACACACTCACAAACAGAAAGAGAGAGAGAGAGAGACACACACACACAAACAGAAAGAGAGAGAGAGAGAGAGAGAGATAGAGAGAGAGAGATAGCTGCATCTGTCTCTAAAGTTGTCCTCATCCTCTAACACGGGAAAATACATTTAGCAGTTTTCCTTCATCAACGTTCGACCATGCTGGCATATGTTACATTCTTCACCACTTGAACCCTATCACCCCAGTGACCTATAAAACCCCTTGTCGATGACCCGGAGGAAGGGGCGGGGTTACAGTTTATAGAAGATAATGAACACTGAAGGGGGAAAATGAGGAGGACATTCAAACATTGCAGCTCTACTATTAGCATGTGAACTATTCGTTGGTTACTGAAAAAAAAAGGATGGAGCAGGTGAGAGAATGTCCTGACTGAAGCGATGTCTTTGACTGATTGATTGACTGATTGATTGACTGATTGATTGACTAATTCATTCATTCATTTAGAGAAATGGATCCAACCAAAATTGTCAGTTTTGTGGCTTCTCAGACTGACAGGGTTAAAAGTCATATATGTATCAAGTTCCTAAAATATTGCTGACACAACTTACCCTGGCATTCCGAGGACACCCAAGTATAAAGAAGGAGAGAAATCACCCAGATCTGGCAAATCTGAAATGGCCTTTGGTGGAGAAAATGGAGGAACATAGTAGGGATTTTCAGCATCCGCTGCAATAACTGTCTTGTCTCTCCAACCAACCATTGCCAAAACTAACTTCCCAACAGGGTAGTTGGCATGTTTGCTTTGTGTCACCCTGTACAAGGAAACAGTGAGGAAAACATTCAGCAAAAACATTTATATCAAATTCAACTTGGCATAGAATATGATATAACACTTTATAAAAGTCTTCAGAATAAACTGTGTCATCACCAAAGTTAGCATCATGAGTGACTGGATACTGCTTATGTGCGCCAGTCAACTTATTATGTATGTCTGCACATCAAATAATTAGTGCAAACTCAAGCACTAAAGATTAAACAGCTTGAAAAGTCTATGGTTGAGCACCAGCAAGGAGATCAAAGTTAGAACCTTTGAGAGCATGCATCTTCCCTGTAGCAACATATGGATGTGAGTCGTGGACTATCTCCCAGTCCTTAAGAAAGAGAATAGGGGCTTTTGAGCTGAAATGCTATAGAAAGATTCTCAAAATATCTTGTACAAAAAAGAGGAGAAATACTGACATCTTGAAAGATCTGAACATCAAGGAAGATTGGCTAATAAACAGCATCCTGTCTCAGAAGCTGAAATATTTTGGTCATATCAAGCGCCACGACGGATTGGACAAAAGTGATAGCAGAAGGCATGGTACCAGGAAGGAGGGTCAGGGGCCGACCAACATTAAGATGGCACAGGATATAAGTGACTCCTTGAGTATGAAAGTATATGAGGCGGGAGAGCTGGTGAGAGACCAAGTTTCTTTCTGTCAGACCGTGATGAGAGCGAGGTTCTGCTAAAGGACATGATGATGACTCAAGCACTCTAACAACACATCTGCCTCCGACAAGGATTGTGTATTTAGGCCCTGTGCATGTAGTACACCTTTGATTTTGCTGCCTCATTACTGGCTCAATCAGACATTAACTATGACATTCTGGGATTGAAAGAGTTAAGCAATGTCATGTTATGTTATCACAGTCAAAGAACCTGGTGGCTAGGGGGCCTTTTCTTTAAAGCTGGAGTGTATCTGCTAAGAACCAACAGTCTGCATACAAATATGCAGATCAGTAAAACATACGTGCACAAATAAAAACTCACATTGTGGAACAAGACCAAAATCCAGAAGTGGATGAGCAACGCCTAATTTCTACTTAGTTTACAGCTGGTGAATGCAGAAGAAGGAGAAGACTATAAGTGAAGTGATTTCACAATTTCCATACACAGCAAGCAGTTACGAATGTGGGAAAATACTGCTTTGATTTTCTAATACAATATTCAGTTTTCAAGGATTCACAGATTAGGTCACCAGGAAACTTGAACACTGGATGACTGTTTGAAAGAAAATACACACAAAGTTACAAGCCTAAGATTAGTAACATGACAAGATAGTATGTGAAGAGAGTGTCAAATTACAAGAAGATAAGCGTAAATATTGTTTGAATAGACAAAAATCAGTAAAAGTTGTATAAATACAATGTCTGGTGGCTTACGCATAATCTATAAAACTTGTATGTGTGTGGAGGCACTAAAGCAACCAAGTGGTGACTGAATATTCAATAATGACCAGACTGCAAGAACAACATGTTAAGAAGGATGTGGCCAGACAAGAGCACTGTGCAAGAAGGAAGCCGAAGAAGAATAAGAAACCAACACAGAACTGGTGTCGGAGCTGCTACACGCTACAGGATTGACTAAGGAGTGGATTGGACAAAAGTGATAGCAGAAGGCATGGTACCAGGAAGGAGGGTCAGGGGCCGACCAACATTAAGATGGCACAGGATATAAGTGACTCCTTGAGTATGAAAGTATATGAGAATTTTTTTAGTTCTTGTCCAGAGCTCCCTATTAGTGATTCTATCAAACCATTTCATACCCTCTATTCTGCACAGACATTAGCTAATAAAGAATGTTGTTAGTAACTGTTTTAGTTGTTCTTCAGGTTTCAGCTTCATACAGCAGTAGTGACCTGACATTTAAGCTTATTATTTTAAAGGGTCAATTTTCTCTCCCTGAGGAATATTAGATATGTGCAATGAGGATAATCTGTCAACTAACTAACTAACTCATTAAAGCAACCAAACATTCTTGTATGCTTGCAATGTTAGCGCAGAACAACCGAAACAAAACTGTGACCTACCTGGCAACTTGTTGTCCTACTGGAGGTTGGCCCACTTTATTGGAGAAAACCCTGAAAAGTATAAATGTATATATATATTTGTGTGTGTGTGTGTGTGTAGAGATATATATTCAAAAAGTACTAGTATTATCAGGGCATCGAGGCTTTTGTCTTAAACAAAAAGGCTTCCTGCACTCACTAAATACGCTGCATGAGCAAAAACAACCAAGAAACTTTAGACAGTGTGATAACCAAGAGAAGATGGAAATGGCTTGGTCACGTTATGAGAATGAATTTTGATATACCTGCAAAAACAGCTCTCTTATGGATACCAGAGGGAAAGAGAAAAAAGGGGCGCCCAAAAACAACATGGAGACGAACGATGGAAAGTGACCTGAGTGCTGCATCTTTGACATGGAAAACTGCACTGAAGATTGCACAGAACAGGAAAGCATAGAAAGTCCTCTCTGAAGCCTCATGTACCACTAGGCATAATGAGAACTGATGATGTTGATGAGCAAAAACATGGTATCTACAATACTGCCAAAGCTTTAAGCTCTGCAGAGGAGGAACTTCATCCCTGGCTCTAACTGGTATCAGCAAAGGCTGTGAGTCTAGCACCTCTCTATGGCACAATGGACCAATAATGTCTGGAAACATGGGAAAGATACCAACAGTATACACATACATACACACTGTAAAAAACCTACGACAATGGAAACCAGGTTAGAGACCAACAGCCCTAGAAAGCTGCTGAGGAAAGGTTAAGCAATGAATTCAGCAAGAACTACAAGTTTCTTTATAGAGGATCTTTTGCCACTGCATTCAGCTCACCCCATGTCCTCCCCATCTTTTAACTTCCCTCTCTAGCAACCTCTCCAAGTGTTACTGGTATGCATTTATTTCAATAATCTGTGGGTTCAAGTGCACAGACATTCTAGTTATACTGTTCTCAGCTTTTCTCAATGGGTGCCCTTTACAATGTGTGTATTTTTCTTCACTTCTTGATTCAGCAGAATTTTTTTAAGTTCTTGTCCAGAGCTCCCTATTAGTGATTCTATCACACCATTTCATACCCTCTATTCTGCACAGACATTAGCTAATAAAGAATGTTGTTAGTAACTGTTTTAGTTGTTCTCCAGGTTTCAGCTTCATACAGCAGTAGTGACCCGACATTAGAGCTTATTATTTTGAAAGGTCAGTTTTCTCTCCCTGAGGAATATTAGATATATTATTACTAATCTGTACTTGGGCGACATGATCAAATTTGTGGCAGCTTCTTTTACTTCCAATAAAATTTCCTAGTATAATTTTAAGGGTAGGGCTATCTGGAAGCCTAGGTCAATAAAAATAGTTCAAAGCAGAAGCAAACACATGACCATTGGCCCAGTAAATAAGCGTGTTATTTGTGGCACTACATCAGCTTCCAGTACAACTCTTATAGTACCAAGCAACAGGTACTGTGTTAAATGGTTATTATTTACGGGTTGGGTGATCTCTGTGGCGAAGTGGTCAAGCCGTCTGCCTTGTGCTCTTAAGGTTGTGGGTTCGTTTCACGGCTGCACCCTTCAGTTTACAGGTGCAATTTTTGCAGAGATCCCTGGTGATCATTGGCAGCGCTACATAGTTCATGCTCTGTGCGGCGCTCTTAAGGAGGCTAGCAGTTCTGTGGAGAGAGACTGAGCCATATGGGATAAAACCCAGAGCAATGAAGTAAATCCTCTCAACTTTAACCTTTATTTATGTGATATGCTTTTCTTAACTCTTCTGTTCCTCATGTATCTGATATCAAAGCCCAGCTCGCTAGCGTTGGTTAAAGCTGACTTCGCGGCGACCGGGTGATGAACTCCATGTAGTCCGGGTTCATGTCCGGGGGTAGGCAGAAAAGCCACATTTGTCCCAGATTTATGGCATCTATCATAGAATCAAGACTGAAGGGTTGCAATATCCATAGTACCGAGGGTTTACAACTCATGGTTTCTGGATATAAAAAAAAATCTGATATCAAAACCCATTCTATCCCAGTGTCGTGTGAAACACATTTTACCCTAGAAAATTTTTATTTCAACCTGTTCAGACAATGAATTTAGGGAATGCTTGTCTGGAACTGAATGATTTAATAATATTTACTATATTTCTAATCATGTCCCTAACACTAGCAGAATACAAATGTGTGCCATCTACATAATGAAGGATGGCTAGTATATACATTGCTGCCTTAATAAATTTATGTGGTGAGGTCCCAACCTGTTCCATGGTGCGATTCTCACACACTCTGTCAGAAAAACCATGATAAATTTTTTTTAAATAAATCATCCATCGCAGAAATCAAACCCTAGTACTCATGGATCATGCAATGGTTAAACACATTAACTTACCTCTCTAATCAATGGAACTGCATACTCAAATAGAAGAATATAGATTAAAAAAAAACACACATTAAATGCATACTTCTTTGCCTCTTATCTCCAACTAGAACATAAACCCTCGACTAACCAGTCCCAAGCTGTACTGTCTTTTGCCATCTCCTACATCAGTGATTCCCAAACTGCGCTGCCACGCCCCAAGGAGCAGCGACCTCTTCACAAGGGCGCCGCGATATTATTCGAAGATACAGGAGTTATATTTTTTTTCATCTCTTAGAATAGGCATACTTCTACTTAGGTTAGGGTGCCGTGGTAACATTTTAATGGGGGGGGAAAAAATAAGTGCCGCGACTAATACAAGTTTGGGAAACACTGTCCTACAGCTTCCCCCATGACTTTCTCATGTTTTTAATCTCTATTTCTAAGTTTTCAACATCATTATCTTGGTGTTATGAGATGGAGACAGAGAGTTTTAATTTATAATCTGTTTTAATCAACATTGATCACTGGCATCATAAAGTCTAATAGACTGCTGTGACTGGAGCATACTGAGAGACCGTCTGATGACAGAGAAGTGAAAGCTGTGTACACAAGAGAGCTGAATGATCACAGACAATGAGTCTGACCAAGAAGATGATGAAGAGATAATATCCAGACAGACTTACAAACATGTCTGGAAACAGAATTTCAACCACAGAGATAAATGGAGGCGGGTAATATCTGCAGAAATAAACATCAAGGGCTCAGAATGCTGAAGAAGAAGAAGAATTTATAATTGTTTTTTGATGTGAACTTGAATTCTTTGTGTACTGAGTTAGAAACATGTACGGTCAGATTTTACATTGCATCAGAACATGTTAAAGAAATCTGGCTATTTACTGTAAGAAACAAATCGTTATGTTTTTTTAAATAATGTAAATATTTGCTAATTTTATGATAGGGTGCAGTTTCTTTATGTCAGTCCAGTTTCATTTAATTCAACATACAATATGGACCAAAAAGAGACAAGATTTTTAAATAACTCCAAACAATGCCATGACAAACATGAAATATTGCTGTTACCTGATGTAAGGGTCCACAGTGAGAAACAATGCTTCAATGAAGATTTCTAAGCAAAATTGAGAAAACAATAATAATTTTTTTACAAGTTTCTCATACAGATTGTAAATGTTGTCATATAAAATGTAGCCAATGGAAGCCAGAATAATACAGTGCAAGAAATATAATTTTAAACTTATTATCATCATCAACATGTGCTATGCCGATAAGCATAGGCTTTTATGTTTCGCTACTTCAAATGATTACCAGAATCATGGATCAGGCCAGTGTTCTTGTCTCGTTCCACCAATCCATTTGACTAAGCCATAGGGGTATTTATGTCATTTGCTTCCCCTATGCTCTTTGTCTTTCAGTCTTGCCAGTCATCAGCAAGTTCCAGGGTTCATTCCTTCTCCGGACATGTTTGAAGACACAATTGTCGACATCTAATTTCTCTCATCAGTTTATCGTTTTTATGGAGGTGTATAGTACATGTTTCTGTAGTTCCATGAAAGTGTTTGTATCTTCTTATAAACCACAAATACCTGCGAGTAAATTTTTTTTTAGTCAAGAAATGACAATTTGCAGATATACACATATGACCAGAAGCTTTTACAATAAACAAGTTACTGCTAAATTACTGTTTCAGTTATTTATAAGTCTCATAAAATTTACCGGTGATGTATTATGTAAATGTAACAGTGGAATACATAATCTGTTCGTATGTTGCAGCAGGTAGTGATTACATTGGAGAGGGTATCATGTGATTTTCCTCCTCTTTGCTTGGCTGTTTAGAGAATGCGTACACACCTAGCATGTTTTGGCTATGTTAATACTCTTAACACGCTATACGTGTACAACGAGATGTAACCGAGTGGTGTATTTGTAAATTAATAATAAACAGTAAGAATAAAAAGTAAAAGAATGCATTTTTATTTTGTAATGGAAAGTGTAAGTGGTGTTCATACACCTCGCCACTGATATTTAATGTTCCATATTGTTTGTATTACAACTACCTCTGAAACAATAACTACTACAACAACAGTAGCAACAAGAACAACTACTAAAGAAAAACAGCTTCTACCATGTTTCCCCAGAAGAAGATCAGGTTTAAGATTAGTTTTTGCTCTAAAGATGCTTATTCTGAGGGGATGTCTTTTTTGTGTGTGTGTGTATGTTAGTTAGTCAACAGATTATCCTAATTGTACATCAAATTATTCAGTCCATAATTGCTCGGATCTCCCTCCTTAGTAAATCATGCAGTATGTGGTGGCTCACAATACCAGTTCTTTGTTGACTTCCTATTTTTCTGTGGCTTCCTGCATAGCACTCTTGTCTGGCGACACTCCTCTTAACATCTTGTTCTTGCAGTCTGGTCATGGTTGCAGATTCACAAGCGTGTTAGCCACCCCGGTTTCCACTACAAATCACAATGACATAATAGTATTTTAGAGATTTGATGTAGATACAATGAAACCAGTCGGTTTTCCCACCCAAGGCCAACATCAGTTTTTACGTATTTCAAATTCTATTAATACACTGTAATTTACTGAATAGTCACACTAGTAGTATTAGTATTGCTACTTAATTTTCCCGTGTGGGAAAAAAGAATAGACCCACTGCCTACCAAAAAGCATGTCCTAAGAGTCGACTAATTGGGAGCTTCCTTCGAAGTCGGAGTGCATCTGTCTGAGAGGCAAGAAACCAACAGTCTGCATACAAATGAGTCAGATCTGTAAAACGGATGCACATGCAACACTCAAGTTCTGGAACAGGACTGCGGTCCAAAAGTGGATGAACAACCAGAACTTTCTGCCAGAGTTTACAGCTGGTGAACAAGAAGAAGAAAATCTACAGAATAATTTTCACATAAAAATACTGGAAATTGTTCAGTTCTCAGAGCCATAATTGAGATTGGAAGTATTCAATAACTTACCCGGGTATATATTTTCATTGCTTTTTTTAAACATCGAATAATGTCTTTCTGTATATTATTTCTATCATTATTAATTATTATTTGAAATAAAGTACTGTTGAAAATACCGCCTTTAACGTCCATAGTTCTTTCGTAACCAACATTTAAATAGTCTGTAATAAAGTATTAATAAGTGAAGTTCGCAATAACAACACATTTTGGACTAAATTACCTCCATCCTGAAGCTCTGGCAGGTCTTCCTCTACAAGTTTAAAATTCTCCAGTGTAGGCTCTCCTTTGAAATCTTCTTTCAGAATCCATTTGCGAGCTTTAACCATTGTGAAAGCGGCGCCCGAATTACGTCGTCCGCAGAGAAACTGAAGGCGAAATAAGGCCTAGTTCTTGAAGAGATAGGTTGCGTATCATTGTTGCATATATTTAGGCCGGACTGCCGCGATACGGACGGACGTGTTGGTGGTTTGTGCTGTGCGGGTAAATAATCAGTGTATCCCTGACATAGTTACAGGCAGTATTGCCACTTTTCTTGGCCAAAAAACATCAAAAATATCTAAAAACCTCTAAATTTGCGTGGAAAACATCTATAAAAAAACATCCAAATGGAAAGAGTCACAAATTACATATGAGTATCATTTATTCTTTATATTAGAGTCTTATGTAGTTACTTCATAGTTAAAGCATATTTGTGTATGTGTACTGCGTTGTTCTTTATGTGCCGATGAAGGCGAATCGCCGCAACGTCCTTTGTTTGTTTATTGTAATCGATTTTGTAAAGCTGACATAAACTGTTTGTTGTTTCTTACCAACTTTTTCTCTTCCCTATAATTTTCTACTCCTTTTAAAAACAAATTACATAGTAATTGATATGACTTACCCTATAGAATCGTGTCCTCATCTTTACTGAAGTCTGCGTCACAAGATCCACAGGATAAACTTAGATTGGATGATAAAGTTGAAGATTCAATTTCTTTTAATATTTAATAAGGGAGCTGATAAGTGGAACAACCTTTTCCTACTCTTATCAGGCCGAATTTTATTGTCAAGACAGCATTTAAGAGGTCCAATTTCATCTTGTTTCTTAGGTTAGATTTGATAAATTCACTTAAAATAATAAAAACATCTAGAATAACATCTCCCATCTAAACGTCAAAAAAAAAAAAAACGAAATTTAAAGGCAAGGAAAAACATCTAAATCTGGATGTAAAACATCCAAAGCGGCAACACTGGAGGTATGGCGTCCGCCTCGAGTGCTGGAGGTCCCGGTTTTAAGCCCCTATGAAGGCTGGGAATTTTTTTTTCCACGTAGACTGATAGTAATTTTTCCTCATCTATGTGTAGTAAGATCAGACGCCCATGTGTATCGCTGCACACGTAAAAAATGCCTTGGCAGTTCGAAGAATCTCAGAGCAGCGCACTAACCTCGTAGCTGGAAATCGAATAGAGTAGCCTAACGGCGGACACAATTTGAAAATCTACCCAGAGTATTTCAGGATCCTCGCCGGTGCTACGAAGTTCGTGCACTGCACTGAGATTCTTCGGACTCATGCTTGAGTCAGAAGTAAAACGGAGAACTCATGGGTTTGTGCCATGATGTTGATACTCTACTGCCGCTAAGCATTTCTTGGAAAAACGTCTTAAGTAATTTTAAGAAGACATGAAGAACTTCCTAAAAGAATAATTTGGGATGAAGAAGGAATTGGATGATTTAAGAGATTCTCATCATCATCATGTGCCCTGTCAGGAGGTGTACGCATTTGTCCTTCTCCACAGATCTCAGTCCCTGGTAAGTGGGATGAATCCCACTGTTGCCATTCCACCATGCCATCGCTTCAGGTTGTCAAGCATCGTTTCTCTTGGTCTGCCTCTTCTACAGACTGGTGATTAAATCAAGTGAAACAGGGATTAATTGTATCTCCTTCTTTTTAAAAATAAAAATACAGGCAAAACAAATGACAACTAAACTGTTGGTAAAGCAGTTTAGGTAATCAGTACTGAGTACATGAAAAAAAAAAAAAAACCATTAACGAAATATAGTTCTCATCCTTTTTAAGATGAAGTTTTTCGTTATTTGAAGCCCTACTCTGGCTTTTGCCAGGGGCCGCCATACAGCCTGGCCATAAATATGGCATAAAGGCTGAACGCGGTTTCTGGGACCTCTCCACGGTGATCCTCATCCACATGGTGGCACTCTGTGTCATCGGGAGTTTATCGCTTGTGTGATGTCCTGGTGGGGTAGAAAGTCAGTCAACACCCACTAAGGTTACATGAAGCGCATAGAAGGTGTTAAACCATGAAGTCAAAGGTTGAAAGACCTAATTATATTAGTATCTCATGCATGTGTAAAAGCGCATTATTTTCCTGACCCGACAGATTACCGGCACAGGGGCATTCCTTAATACCATTAAAGAGAATAAAAACCAATAAGGCCAATTTAAAATGTAAAAAATTTTTATGTAAACAGGAAGTTTAATCCAAGATACAAAACTGTACAATTTACAGTGCCCGAAGCCGTGGAAAGGGTTCTTTACAATTTACAATTAAATAATGAATAAATTCAGCACTTAACTTATCTTACTGACAGGATTTTACATTTTAAAAAGTATTATTTCTCAAAAAAATACTATTAACTAATCTATATTGTTAATTCTAAAAAAATAGGACATTGTTTTATCACCTGTGGTTTTACAGAAGAATCCATAGAATTCCGCAGACAGCTAAAAAGAGCAACCCATATATTTTGAAAGAAGCGAGGGCTCGAAGAAAACTTATCATAAATATCATAACGAGACACTCATAGTTTGTGTGGTCATGTTATGTGAAGAGGAAAACTGGAACTTTTGTGGGCACTAGAAAGATCTGTGGAACGAGAGACAGAGGACGACAGCGCGTGAAGATTCTTCACAATCTTTTGTCCTAGCATGCAGGGGTGTCAGCACACGAACTGACACAAGCAGTTGCGGTGAGGCATGATCGCCCTCACCAGTCGGTAAGGTGATGATGATGATATTATCACCTCACTAATTCCAAGGAGCGGAAACACGGAGAACAACTAAGGCAATTAATATTAAATTCAAACAATCATAAGCTGGTGCCAAGCATAAGAATTTTAATGGTATGTTAGAATAAACAATTTAGAGCTTTGGGAAAGAACTAAACAAGTTCCAGTGGGCCGAGAGGTGAAGGAAAGACGATGGCGTTGGATAGGACACACGTTGAGAGAACATGAGAATAATATAACTAGAATGTTTTTGCACTGGAACCCACAGGGGCATAGAAATAAAGGAGGACCAAAAACACACGGAGAAGGGAGCTGGAGAGCGAAGTTTTAACAAAAATCACAGAAGACATGGGGAGAGTTGCATGCAAAAGATAAGAATAGAACAAATTGTTTGTTGAGGGCTTATGCTCCATTGGGAGTTAGAAGAGCAGAAGAAGGAATCCCAAGTGCTTTTTTTTTTCCGCTGACGAACACCGGACACCGGTCGACAAGTGCCACGGACTTCACGAATGAACAACAGTTGACGCTGTAGCCGTTAGTTTCACTCGGTTCCCGAAAGACACGTTTGAGTTGTGGTCGACGTATTTCTGTTAGGAACAAACAAGCCACATATGTGACAACCCTGCTCTTTTGTATAGTTTTGCTTCTAGGATAGTATTCATCTAAAGAATTATATGGTAAACTTTTTCTTGTTCATATCTTTAGTTTCTAATGGTTAAACCATTTACCGCAGATAATTCTCTAGCTTCACTAGCAGTTATTTATGCTTTAACGTCTCAGTATTTTTTGTTTGCCTATTGTAGCCTGAGAGTTAAATGTTAATTTTACTCGTTCTAGACGTGCCCTTCTCCTTCGCCCCATCCTTCTCCCACATGTCACTCCCCACCCCTTGTTCGCCTTATCTTCCTCTGCCCCCTTTGCTTTTTAAAAATGGTTAAACTATGGGGGTGACTGCAGTCAAGCTAATACAATGAATTCCAGAGAAATTTGACTAAAAAGCTCAACAAAATGGGAAAGAGGAAAACGTGCACAAAACAACAAAACGTAACGTTTCGGCTGGGCAGCCTTTTTCAAACACAAGTGAAAGACACAAACGAGGAATGGAGAGTATGTAGATCTCTAAGGGGTGACGTGAGCGCTTTAAAAAAATGTGATGCGGAAAAAATGAAATAAAATAAAATAAACGATGGCTAAAAAATATAGTCACAATACTGGGAATAAAAGAAATGCAAGTGGTAATGATACATAAATGATACTGATAAGAAATAGAATAAGGTAATAATATGAAATAAAATAAAAAAATTAACATTTAAAATGTGATAAGATTAGAACTATTTAGATGAAGGTATGTTGGATATTGATACCTCTTGGACTAAGAACGCCAAGGCTGTGGATAAGGCGATTTTCCAAAGCGAGGCGGGTAGTATGATCGCCAGAGCAAGATTTTAATGCTGTGACAGATATGTCATCTTTACCGCTGTGGTCAGGGCTATTAAAATGAAGAGGGATTGGTTTGAGTGTCTTCTTGTCGATATCGGAGAGGTGTTCCCGGAAACGATCAGCTAGCTTCCTGCCAGTCTCTCCAATGTATGCCTTGCTGCATCGTTTGCAGATAATTGCATAAATTACGTTGCGGGATTCGCAAGTAAAAGGTTCCCTAATTTGAAAAGAACCATTAGGGAAACTGACCGAAGAAGTCTGGACAACGAAAGGACATGTCTTGCAGGTGCTACGTGAGCACTGAGTAGTCCCAAAAGGAAGTGCTGTGTGGATCGGTGGGAGTCGGCTTCGGACAAGTATGTCTTTAAGGTTGCGATCTCGTCTGTAAACTAATCTAGGTTTCTCACTAAAGATAATTTTGGTGTCCGGATCAGAGCGGAGGATGTCCAAATGACGAAAGAATACTTTGGAAGCAACCACATTGTTAGGGTGAAAAGTCAAGATCAATTTAGGTGCATCATTGGTGGAGTTACGTTTGGTAGGAAAAGCATCTCTCCTGGTGATTGCTAAAACTTTGTTTAGAGCCCCTTGTAGAATGTGTTCCGGATAGAAACGGGCACGGAAGAATTCAAGAAGTTCAACTGATTTATCAAAGAAGTCAGAATCATCAGAGCACAACCTGCGCAATCGAAGGAGCTGTGAATATGGAATAGAATTTTTACACGGTAGTGGGTGAGAAGACGTATAGAGGAGATAAGATTGCACGTAGCACCTGCAAGACATGTCCTTTCGTTGTCCAGACTTCTTCGGTCAGTTTCCCTAATGGTTCTTTTCAAATTAGGGAACCTTTTACTTGCGAATCCCGCAACGTAATTTATGCAA